CCCCCCCCCCCCCGCTGACAGGAATGTGGTGTTTCCTTCCGCTCCTCAAGTGCCGCATGGTATGGAGTTGGTAGCTGTTCCCGCGCTGCCCTCGCCGGACATCTCCATTTTTCAGTAGAGTAATGACGATGATGACCGCGGATGCATTTCGTACACAGAGCAGGGAGATTACGAGTGGGCTGTGTACCTATTGGGACAAAGCGAGGTATCAGAAGACCCCTACGAGTTTTTAGATTTGATGTTTGAGTCTGGATTTGCAAATGTCTTCGATGATGTTGCTTTCGCCGTCCCCGTCATAGCCCCGGGCAAGCGCCCTTTCTCGGTAGGTAAACCAACAAGATTATTGACGTTAACCTTCTTCACGTTTTGTGCTCCCACGCCAATGGGGTTCTTGTGCGTGACCTTGCGAAGCAGCACGGTCTCCGACCGACCGGTGTCCTGCAGCCTTGTGGTGGATGCTTGCAGGCGAAGGGGAAGAAGGCAGGCGTGCCTCACCGATCGGGCACGCGCGCGGAGCGGCCGCACGATCTTTGGCATCTCGATCTGTGTGGGCCGATGGCGGCCTCGTCGGGGGGGGTCGTTTTTCATGATCATGTTCGTGGACAGCTTCTCGCGGTGGANAAGGCAGGCGTGCCTCACCGATCGGGCACGCGCGCGGAGCGGCCGCACGATCTTTGGCATCTCGATCTGTGTGGGCCGATGGCGGCCTCGTCGGGGGGGGTCGTTTTTCATGATCATGTTCGTGGACAGCTTCTCGCGGTGGATGAGGCTGTGCGGGATGAGGCGCAAGTCGAACACCCTCGCCTTCGTCAAGAAGTTCCTCGCCGACGTGAGTGGCACCGGTGTCCCTCGCTCTTTCCGGATGGACAACGGGGGGGAGTTCATCGGTCGCGACTTCATTGCCTTCTGCGACAACGTCGGCATCCGCCGTACGTACATGGCGCCGGGCACCCCGCAGCAGAATGGTCCGGCGGAGAATGTGATCTGGCGCGTGAACAAGGCCGGCCACGCCGCTCGTCTCGAGGCACGCCGCCTGTTCCCCAAGATTGACTTCACCCGCGTCCCCGGTTTCGGACGCGATGGCGAGCGACTTTGGCTAGAGTCGTGTCACTGGGCTGCCGGCGGATTCAACCGTTCTCCGGCAAGGCAACGTCGGGTGCAAGTCGCCGCACGAGCTCTTCACCGGTCGCCCGCCCCCGCTTCAGGTCGTCCCGTTCTTGCAGCCGGGGTACATGCGTGTGACGCGCGCGCGGAAGATGGATCCCCAGNGCGGTCAAGGTCCTCAAGTTCGCGACGGGGCGCGTGTGCATGACGAACAACGTCGTGTGGGTCTCCGACCGCGCGCCGTTGCTGACCCCGCCGCTGGAGCTGCCGGCGCCGGCGAACGAGGGGGGAGATTCGGATGTCGCCGCCGCACCGTTTCTAGTTGAGTACATTTCACCGCCTCTTCTACCCCCCTCACCGTTCGCCCGACATCCCAATTCACCCGCTGCCATATCCTCACAGGCGCCACCGGCAACTTCCACACCACCATCGCCGGCGGTGCCGTCTACTGCAGCCACACCATCGCCACCGGTCACCGCGCCGCCTGCAACGCCGTTCGCCGTCGTGCCACCGTCTCCCGCCGTCGCGCCGCCCGGTGCCGCGCCATCGACCAACATGCCGCCNCAACATGCCGCCGCTCACTACGAGGACCATCCGTGAACTGGACGTGGGGCGCGGGGACATGAGGGTTTCTGGGCGCACGAGGGCAGCCGCTAAGGCCCAAGGGGGGGAGCGGGCGTCGTAACTGCCGCCCCTCTCTGCCAGGGCCAATCGAGAGCTGGACTTGGGACGAGAGACGCGGGTGCCAGGGAGATTGAGGGGTCGGGGGGTGCGTTTCCAGGATCGGGGGGCCGAGCGGTCGACGTCACCTGGCGGGGGCGGCAACGCTCCCGCCCACCGCTTCGGGCTTGTATCCCTGCAGGACAAGGCAACGCTCCTGTCGACTCTCACCACTCGCAGCGTCGTCAATAGGGGGAGAAAGCAGATCCCGAGTTCAGCCGGAGGACGTGAAGGAGCGGAGCCGGGGGGGCGAGAGCGGGGGGGCACGAAAACAGAAGGACTGCGTGAAGAAGTCCCATTTGCGTGCGCCACCTTGCTTGCCTCCCGCGAGGGCATTGATCGCACGATGAGGGATTCATATCCCCCGGAAGTGGCACCGGACTTGCCACATTGCTATGCAAACGACTTGCGCGTGGCCAAAACGTATAGGGAGGCTGTGTCCTCTGAGTATGCTGACTTGTGGATAGACTGTAGAGAGCGAGTTCAGAGGTCTGATGGAGGCGGTACCTTTGAGGAAGTAATGTAGCAACCAGAGAGTGTTATCAAGTCTGATGAGTATGGATGGCCGACTAAATCACGGCTAGTAGCGAGAGGAGATATGCAGTGAGTACATGTAGATTGTGGAGAGACGTATGCATCGACTGTAGCGGTTTCTAGCGTTCGTTTCTTGGCAGCGATGGCGTGTGAGCAAAATCTTTCTCTTCATGTTGACATCAAGCAAGCACTTGTCCAGTCGGATTTGGATGAGGATGTTTTCATGCGTCTGCCAGTAAGATGTGGTAGATTGTCAGGTATGATAGTGAAGTTGAACAAGAGTCTGCATGGCCTTAAGCAGGCAACAAGGCAATGGCATTCACACTTGGCGAGGTGTTTGATTTGCTTGGGTTTTATTATGTGGCGGACACGTGTGTGTTCCGGTTGATCGAGGAGGGAAGAGTGGTAGTGACTCTGGTAGTACATGTGGATATATTTTCGGTTGGAGAGGAGAGGTGTGACCAATTTGGGAGGGACCTCAACACCATGGTACCGGTGAAGAGTCTTGGTGACTTGAGGTGGTACTCTGAATGTTTTTATGAGAGGGATTGGGATGCAGGGACTTTGAAGATCTCGGAGCAGACGTACGCTGAAGAGTTGGGGATGGAGTTTGGGGTGGAGTACGGGAAGGAAATTCCTCTTCCTGTAGGGTTGAAGCTTTCAGAGTTTGACCAGGATAAGGAAGTGGTATCATGGCCTTTTCGTGAGCTGATACGATCATTGATGTGGCTGGCAACGCAAACGAGGCCAGATATCGCGAATGCAGAAAGAGCGGTAGCACGGTACTGTGCTCTTCCCAAAGAAATTCATTGGAGAGCAGGTCTTGGTATTTTGGGGTATGTGGTAAGGACTAGTGACTTGGGTATTACATTCAGGAGGGGTAGTGTAGCAGGGTTGAGCATGGAGGCGTTCGCAGACGCAGACTATGCAAGTAAGGCTGCCGATAGGAGGTCTGTGTCAGGAGGCTTGGTGATGTGTGGGGGGGGATGTATTTCTAGGTTTTCAAGGACGCAGAAGTGCGTTACGTCGAGCACGACAGAGGCGGAGTATGTCTCCCTTGCGAATGTGATGAAGGAAGTTTTGTTTCTGAGGCAGGTATGGCGTTTCATGTTGCCAGAAGCAGGTATGCCGTGTATTCCGGTGTTCGAGGATAACCAGGGGGCTGTTCAGGTGGCGCAGAACCCGATTAGCAACACAGTAACTCGAAGCACATCGACGTAAGGCACCACTTTATCAGGGAACTGGTAGGCAGGAAGGAGATTTCGATTTTTCACGTGGAATCGGCGTATCAACATGCTGACTTCCTCACGAAGGCACTTCACGTCGGAGATTCTGAGTTTCATCGTAATTTCGTGATGAGTATGAGACACCAACGGTAGATTTGGATTTATTTGTGTTTGATCAAACAACTAGGTTGGCATTGTTTTACATTTTTTCCTATGGTTTTCTCAATGAATGGTGTTCTAGGCTGGGGGGCTATTGGACCGCTATGGTTATCGAAGAACTACAACTGGAATGATCGGGGATGGAAACATATTTCTAGCCCAGAAGGCTATTGTTGCAGATTTGAGTTGTGTTTTGGATTATTTTCTTGTGTTTTGGAGTTACTGAAAGATCATGAAGACTTGGGATAGTCACAAGCGGGGGGCTGATAGATATACTTGTAGCAATGCCAAGTGGTTGGTACGGTATGTTCCCATGGAATGAGGTAGAGCGGAATACCGGGTGACATTTGTGGTACGTAGAATGGATTCCAGGGATGTACAAGGTACCCCTGTTGTATACGGCGTCGCCCCCTCAACGGGGCTTGTGTGTGCTTTTGTGGATGCAACTACATGTAATCACACAAGTTTTTCTCAGCGGCGCGAGCCCGCCGAGTTGCCGACACCATATTCAACACACGTCTTGCGACAAGCTACCCCCAGTTCGGATTTTACTAACAAAACGACCTTCTGGGCCAGCCGGAAAGCAGAAGAAGATAATTGGTGGAGCGTACATTTCAACATATTCATGTTTCCCAACGCGTGGAGGGTGGTTTCAGCTGGCCGTAGAGAGCGATCAGGCAATACTCACGCAGAGCGTCGACCGAAGCAAGCAACAAGACAACCTCCCGCGGCAGACAACTTCATTGACAAGCTCATACTAAGTCCGTTCGTCGTCGTCTCGCTGGCCTTACCTTGCCTGGAAGGTGCCAGCAAGGTTCCTCAAGGGTGACCCGCTGAATCCGACGCTCGATGACACCGCTCGAGATCTTACGCTGGGCAACGAGACGAAGCCCGCAGTGCGAGGTAGTAGTGCAGCAGCAGAGTGTTGCACCCAGGCGGCGGTGAAGAGGTTCACCAGTGGAGGGAAAGCGCGAGGCATGCACGACAGCTTGAGGTAGAGGGCGATGCGGCCGGACGGGCAGGGTGTAGCGCAACAGCCTAGGGTGGAGTGCGTTACACTGGTTCCTGGAGTTTAGCGGAGGCGTGATCCAGCGGGGATTGATCCATTGCCCACAACCCCCCCAAGCCGCACAACCAGCTTGACCACGGAAGTTGACGGCATGGATGAGCAGCAAGCGCGACAAAGGCTGCTGGAAGGAGGGTACTTCGTAGCTCTGGGGGTGCCACCCGGGGTGGAGTTCGGAATCGATCTCAAGAGCTACAAGGTTTGTGAGGTTGGAAGGTGGTTGACGTTCAGTCAGCAGCGTACCAGGTATTGGTCGCAGCGGTGGATGGCGTGCTTGCGATCGATGCCTTGCCCGCTCCGAGCTTCTGCACTCAATGTGCGTGGGATAGTGTAGTGCTTGCGATGCCTTGGACGCTCTGAGCCTTTAGCGCGGACGAGCTAGCACTGCTGTGCACAGGTTACACCGGGTATTGCAGTTTGCTGGCGCTATTTTTGAAATCAGGCGGGACTGTCAGCTTCTACTCTGGAATCGGCCTGCCGCTTTGTTTGCAGCTGCCTCTGTTTGCCAGTGATCACAAGTGTTGACAAGGCAAGTGCTTCCCTGTTTTTCACGAATGTATCTGTGCCGTGTAGCTTGGTTGCCTCGGCAGCTAACAAAAGAGGAACCATGAAACAACGTCGAGTACAGCAGCAGCAGACTGCTGGACGGGGAATGCAACAATACCCGTCTTGGATTCGTGGGCCAGAGATGGCGTCGCTGCTCTTGCCTGACAGAACGCACCAGCATTCGCTGCATGTCGCTTTGCTTGGGCCCGGAGTTGCTGTACACACCCTGATCACCTTTCGCTTAGGGCAGTATTTCATCGTAGGTCACCTCCTCCCCTTGTGAAACGTAGCCTGAGTCGGTGAAAAACCGGCATATCGCTCAGTCCCGGCGTTTTAGGGATGCTAAACATGGGTACACCCCCCCCGCGCCCTTCACCACAGCTACTCTGTAGGTGGGTTCTGCAGGCTCACTTTTCCACCAAGGGCCATGATGGAGACCATGCCTGCCGCCAGTTGCACAACCCGGCTGGCGGAGTGTCAAAATTCTGCCTTGTGCCAGAAGCGAAGACATTGTTATTGTGTGCATAGTTTCCACGATTCCCCCCTGTTACCGTGTGCCCATGCTGCAAGTAACAATGCCGCGTGTTTTCATTCGCTGTAGTGGGTGTTGCTCGTGCCGGACGAAAAACACCTTTGTTCTCGTTACAACGGTTTCCCCCTGCTAACGGATATCCTTGCTTCAAGAAACACTGCCGCCTGTTTTCTGGTCACGGCTGTTGTGAGCGTTGTTCGTGGTCCCTTGCGTTTTTGAGCGACTCTGTCGAACCTTTGACCGTCGGAACTGGTCCATCACCCCACAGACCGGACCGCAGTTCCAGGGGGTAAAGATGATCCCGCCTGGGCTGCATTTCGCACACTTCGGCACCGGAGAAGGCGAGAAGCAGGTACAGTAGCCCTTATGCGCCTTGTGCATCACTGTCCACATTTCTCACCTGATGCATGAGGTCGTGCCCTCCCTCGAAGGATCTGTGTTTGTACTTCTTGATGGTGCCAAACAAAGAAAGAACGTCCGGTCAAGGAGGCATTTTGGGCTTCTACTGCCGTGTCTTCGGCTTTACTGAGATTGAGGTGGTTGTGTTTGTGTGTTTCATTTTTTGGTGGGAGAACACAGCAGTGTCGTTGGCCTTCCATCGCTGCAACTTGTGTCCATCGGAGAAGGGCTATGACGAACCGTGCTTTTTATCATGGGCTGCCGAGTAAATCGCTCGGATGGACACAGCAGCAGCTTTTCCAACAGCCACACCAGTCATCCCTCGACACCATCAAGTAGACGGAGATTTAACGTCACACATGGCACGCAACGTCGATGTGCATCCATCAGGGAATTTTCTTTCGAAGCTCGGTTGGATCGGTTGCGGCGACACAGTGGGACACAAGCGCGGAGGATCTGGTTGACGCTCAGACGCGCCTACCCGATGGGGCTCTTCGAGCTTTGCGGGAGTCGGTGCTGCGGCTGGAAATGGACAAAAGTCTGGGGTAAGTTTCGATTTGAGCCACGTGTTGTTGACGGGAGACTGACGTCTCACGGGAATGAGAGAGGCACACGACATATAGATCGATATATTGAGATAGAGAGAGAGAGAGATAAATAGAGAGAGAGAGAGTGGACGCGAGCACGAAGGTAGGCCAACATAGAAATTAACCCTCCATGCGACATGAGCTTGCCTGCTGGTCCGTCAGACCCCACCAATGGCCTGCCACGCCAACAGACGAAAATGTTCGAAACGCGATGTTCAGCAGACGCAAGGATCTACCCTGCGGGGGCGGGGGGTGTCTAGGACCGACAACCGAACATGGCACACCGACACCCTACCAAACGCTTGTACGTCCGTATCTGCTCTTGGCACACCTGGCAGGCCTCACCCTTTCGAGCAGCAAGCGGCATGGTCGAACCTGACAAACTGCGTCACGGATTCCGTGCTCGAGAGGTATGTATACTTGTGCTGTAGTTGTAGATGTAGATGTGGCAGGCGCTTTTTCTTGCACTCAAGCAGAGCAAGCACCAAGGAGATGCCTTCTGTTTGGAGGTGCGTGAGAATGCTTTTGTTCAAGCCTTGCTCCTCTTGAAGTGCCGTCTCTGCCTTGTATCAGCAGTTCGCCACGACATTTTTGTACAGAGATTCTACTAGCAAAACCGCGAGGTTTCCGACCCCGACGTACCCGATCTGGCACAGTTGCTCGGGGCGACTCAATCCATTCTTCAACCACAATCCTATTTCACACTCCTGCCACTTAACATAGGCACTAGACTACTCAATAGATGTAGTTTTTTAGAGTGGAGGTCTGAGTTCAACGTTCACAACCCTTGCAAGCTTTTGGAAATTATGTTTTTGGCAATGGTAGAAGAAGCTCATCAATCGGATATCCTCACCTCACCAATTGCCTGCCCGTACGTAAGTGTGGCGTTCCCGTCGGCGCGACAGGACCCCCCCGCTCCGCGCGAAAATTTCGGGAAGTTTCCTCGGGTTGACATTATCCCTCTCACGCCTGTTCAATCGTTTTTTCAGGTGCGGCGTACCCGTCGGCGCCAAGGTCCTGGCGGGGTCCTCCGCGGCGGAGCCCGGCGAACCGGGAGGGGAAGGCGTTCCTTCTGAGGGGGGTGCAGAAGAGAGCAAAGCAGACGGTGGTCGTGGTGGTCGTCAGCGGGGAAGCAGGCAGGGGATGGGAGCGGCGGCGTCGGCGGCGGGGATGGCCGGGCGGCAGATCGTGCCGCACTTCCCGCACGTCGGGAGGGTGGCCCGGTACAGCGAGGTTCCGGTGAGGTGGCGCGCTTTTGTGGCAATCCACGCGCAAAGCAACTCGACCGTTCTGGCGTAGTGGAACGATTTTAGCTGCTTGTTTGCTGTCGTTCTCGTACACCCGGAAGCCATTCTGTTAGACACGGCTCCCGGGTCGTTGGCCGTTGTGTCACTCTCAGGACGAAAAACTCCGCTCTGTTGGCCCCCTCGTGCGTGGTCTTGCCGTGTTCGTCGTGTTGCTATCCACACATTCTTGTTGTACTATTTCCTTTTCCCCACAGTACTCACGACGCCTTGTCTTCAAGGCCATATTGGCAGCTATGTCTTGCGCCCAAGACGCCCTGTCGTTATTGTCCGCCCACCCCCCTAAATTGCCCCCCCACCGCCCTACACGTCCCCTCCGGTGTTAACCATCGGTCGGGGTTGGGTTTTCGTCGCTTGGCAACGACGTTGTAAAACAAGCCTTCGTGAACTCGGCAACCAGGTGACCGTTTTTTTTTTTTTTTACCTCCGTTTTTTTTTTGGCGGTCAACATGGTGGTAGTCGAGTAGATCATGTTGTGCGGGGTCGAGAACCTTCACTCCGCGCAAGGGGGATGATCGCACCACGTTGTGTTAAAATGGTCAAGCACCCTCGAGGCAGTTACACAGTGCTTACAACTGTCTC